ATATGCAAATGACTACGTATAGCCATATTTGCATATAAATGAATAATACATATCCAACTGTCTGAGAACAAAACATAGAGGTCGCACTCTTCAATCCACGGTCTCCGACATCTACAATTATACCTTAGGCCAAAAAAGTATCCGGTTTCTGGTATGCGCGCGCATCGCCGTAGCCATGCGCGTCGGCAAAATTATTATTTTTTTTTCAGTGTAAGGTGATGTCTCAAAACCGCCAAACTCACTGGTTAGACTGGAATCCTGCGGTTGCACAAGTTTAACGTGTTTTTAGATGGGGTTACGATCGAGTAAAAGCTTTATGTGGCCGCTCTGTGCTCCCATATATTTTGCACTAAATTTAGTCGGGCACCATTTGCAGACGGTGTTGTAATTTTGTAATTGTGGGTCTAGAAGCCAGACTGACGGAGCGATGGTCGTGTATCTGGAACCTGTAAACGCTTTTTAATTAGCTCAATATACTTCTCAAGCCTTATGGCCTTACTTGATCACCTCAAGCTGCACTCTGAAGGATATTTTGAGAGTTTTAAGGGGATCGAAGCGTCATCTGCAACGTCAGTCGACATTTGAGGAGAAAAAAAAACAGTTGGGTAAAAAAAAACCGCGTCGCCGCACCACTTTTGGGGCAAGCTCCATACCAGAAATCGGAGACTTTTTTTTGTTTGGGCCTGAGCAAAGTGCACAAGAGTTTTCGTTCAACACTTTAATGACGAAGAGAATGCAAGCTGATATCGCACATATCAGAATGCAAGCTGATATCGCTGATGTCAGAATGCAAGCTGATAACACTCCATTGTTCTGAGCCTAGCTTTCTTTTTGAATTAAATGTCAAGTTTAGTTGGAACTGACAGCGTCTGTGAGTGGGGAGCTTCATTCTTATATATCAGAATTTCCCGGATCACGAAGATCGAGGTCTGGTAGAATTCACTGTCTGTTGGGATATTCATAGTCACACAGTGCTGCATGGCCAACTGTGAAAGAGAAAAAGAGAACCATTGGTTGAACATGTTGCTGTTATGATGCAGGTAGCATACACGACCATTAAGGAGAATGCGACGGAAGATGTTTAAAATTATATCCACGATGATTCAGACATTTTTAGTCAATCCCAGTGTCAATTTGAAGGCGAAACAAATGTCTGTTGATCCGCAACATCAACTAACTCGTGAATACTTGATTTATGACGCATTCATTGCTCTTTAACCTTTGTTGGACTTCCGGTAAATGTACCTAACTGCAACTTTATACAAAACACATTGGTTTTGAGACACCAAAAAAAAAAGGAAACCAGTCATTACCTTCTTCATAAGCTGAGAGTGGCGTGTAGTCTGTACTGGATGTAGTCTGGTTCCCTTTGTTACCCTCCACGATGTACTGTGTGTATCCATCCGCCGTGTACTGGGGCCGCAGTCGATCGACCGTGGGGCCAGTCGCCGGGGTATTGCCTTGCCGTCTCTGGTCTGGTTCCTGTGGGTGCTGCTCTGCTACAGTATATCCAATTCTGTTTTTGTAGGAGTGTGAGGAGTTGGCACTGTCCCTTGTATCGCTGGGTAGAGTGTGCAGTGAGATGCGCTGAGGTTCCACGAGGTCGTGACCATCTGAGCTCCTTGTGTTAGATGGATTGACAGTTTCAAGTTGCTGGCGTAAATCGTTACATTGTTTCTGCAGCTTTCTCCTGGATGCAGCCAGATATGCAACAAGGAGGAGGAGAACAAAGGCAACGGAAGCACTTGCTGCTGATAGGGACACTTGCTGCGGGATAGGGACAAGGATATCGACAGTCGCAGTCGGCGAAGTTGTATCTTGATCCGACCGAACCCTTGATGTCTGGTGATACCCATCAGCAACATCTATGCCCGGAGTCTTAGATGTGACACCGTGTTCCTGAGAAGTTGTTATTAATGATGCCAGGGATGTATTGGTGTCCGGAGATGTCGAAATAGTGGTTGGAATGAAAGTGGTACATGTACTTGGTCGGACGGAGCAGTTCCTGCTGATGTCAGGATAGGCCTCACTCCTCATGTAACAGGTGAATACCAAATTACTGTAGGAAGCATCCAGAGTGTTTAGATGCAGAGTGTTTTCAACGTGGTCCCCGACGATGACTGTATCGCTTAAGAGTGATACTCTGGATGAGATAACAAGGGTTGTCCACTCAAGAGAAACCACTGGTTGAGCTTTCTCGGAGGAGCAATTCAGCACAGCGCCTGAGGTCTCGGTGATGTCCAACAACAAAGTACATGTTGGATAGGCCATTTGTGGTAAGTAGTAGACTGTCACCATTACACTTGCGGAATGTTGAATTCCCCCTACCAGAAACGCACAATCAAAACGAGTGTTGTCATCTAGAGTGGTGTCATGAATTGTTAATGCTAATGTTGCATCGTTTTTCTCATTTTTGACATATTGGACCAAACCACGACTATCTGCAGTGTTCACCGCAGGACATGGATATTCTGGCAAACCACAACCACCTGAAACATTAATCACACCATACGGCTCTGCCTCAGTACCTCGGTACCATCGAACCAACGATAATGAATCGCTAGTTCCAATTTGACAGCACATGGCATGTGTAACTCTTCACCTCTCCGTACTGATACCATTGGTTGGCGTATGATTTCTAACGATACTGTGATGTTTACAAGCAGTGGAATTACCAATATGCCCCTGAATTTGGAAGCCATCTTTCAAATGAAACACCGCAGCATCAGATAGACTATAAATGTCAAGATGAAAACGGTTCAACCATCACTTGGTCACTACTACGCGCAAAAAACACCACCCGGATCCCCTTCTGTGTTAAACATCAACTATGTCGACTAACATTGGTGTAGGCCTATACATGTACGGTACAGAGTCTTCACACAGACGAACATTTATGACGCTCAATCACGTATACTGGCAAGTTTTCATTGGACTGTTGCTTGCCGACAAGACGATTTTTTCCATATCATTTTCACACCGTAGCTGTGAACGAAACCAGTTCATACAGAGACACATATCAGGCTATTTTTGTTATCAAAACTACACGAGGTTATACTAAATAAATAACACAACTTCCTCTTTCTTCCCTACTCGCACGCAAGTGACCCGGAACGATCAAAATACAGTCATACAACGCCTACCGTACAGGGAATGCTTTTGAGTAAACACAAACATGCATAATTTAATGTGAGAAACTTCGCCTAAGGGAGAAATCGGTGGGTTGCCAATGACCTCGTTCAGTCAGCACATTACGGTAAAAAAATGAAAGGCGGAAATGTAATCAAACCTATCGAAATTAGCGTCAGACTGTGAAGCAATTTCTTTTATTATCCATGATCTGAGTTATTATCATAATAATACGATTCATCATCAACCTGTGTACTGTCCTGATTATGACATCTGGTCATGATCTTGAGAAATGCGCGCGTTGAAAATGCAATTCAGTAAATGACGGAAGTATTCGGAGCACACAGAAGTAAAAAAAAAAAATCATACAATTGGCCTATACATGTAGTACAGTGGTGTGTGGACTGCGTGTATATTAATACGACCTCAGCGGTGAAAATGCAAATCAATACTATCATTAATTCACGTTTATCATTAGTTGTAATTCACGTTTATCTTTAGTTGTAGTAAATAACAGTGATTCTTTTTATACAAGAGCGCACCCCATACTTAATTACTATCATAATGTTCAAGTCTCCAGGATATGTATATATGCAAACCTTTATCTTGTTTTATACATCTATATACAGTTCAATTGAAAATTGTTTGTTTTGGAAATAATCACAAATCCATTGCCAAAGTGTTAAGAACGACCTATAACTTTTAAACTTTCCTCACAGTCTCTTTGCGTAATTGAGTCTGAATAAGGTCCTGTTTACAATACAAATGTACTTAAAATAAAGTTAACATGAGATTTCGTTCCGCATATACAATTTATGCTGTGGAATTCTCTCAATCCGTCTCTTAAAAAGATGTCATTTGCATCATTGTTCAAACGCAAATATGAAACCCAATTAATTAACAAATACGTATAAGTGTCATTCATGTTGACTTGCACATCCTTATGGAGAATAATCTCATTTTGTACGACCAAAAAAGTTAGTTTTATTTCTTATTACTAGCTCTGAACCAATAGTTTTTGTTGTTTAACTCCCATTGTTGTACTTGTACTTGTAATTAATTGTAACTGTAATTGTAATTGTAATTGCAATTGTTCTTTATTACAGTGGGGGTCTCCACTCGACAAGCTTATGCTTTTAGGAGACCTCCATCCACCCATACACAATAATGCAAATGTTATGTAATATTATATGTACATGTATGTGTTGGGAAAAATTGAAGATTTGATTGATTAATATGATATTATCTTTAGCCGTTTTCTTCTTGTCCAATGCCTGGAACAAGTTGCTTGCAAATAGCCAATGTTCTCAGAGCCCAAGTTTTCCCATCTTTCTTTTTCAGTTCAGACTGTATTACAGTCTATGGTTCCGGAGTTAAACGAGACAAACGGCTGAACTTCGAAGCCCAATGTTACATCAGAAGCAATGTTACTTTACTCCAAGCAATTTGCGTTATTTGACCCCTTTCCTTTTTTGGTCGGACGAACATGTGTCAAGATTCCAGGCTTAATTCACATTTCATGTATCGAGGTATGTTTTATCCCAAAAGTTATTATCAAAACGCATACTTTTCGTATGCTACACACGCGAATTTAATTCCGTCTAGCTTGCTGTCATTTGGAAGAAATCAAGAACTGTAGGTGATTTCCAACGATCAGATAAGTGGAAATAAAGCGTTATGTAGACGAAATCTAGTTCGTGATTAATATGTAATGTTTTTTTTCACTGATTGTTTTTCCAAATGGGCAGTGTCATTGAGCTGAAACGTCAAAGGGTAAGGCTTTCATTGCTGTAATTTGGATTTGATTATGTTATTGTTTGAAACGAACTAAATGCATGACATGAAAACAACGTGCGTCGCATCCAGCAGCCGAGCCATTCAAATCACTGGAATAAACTTTGACCTTTGTTGAAATGACGTCACTTTATATCGACCCTAAAGTTGTAGTGCATCATCCGATGAAGCAACATACAGGATATTGTCGACGAACACTGCAGTGCAGTCATCGTCGTTGTAATTCCCGTTGATGTTGCTGTCGCCCAGACGTTGCCCAAGCGGGCCACCGGCTTGGAGCTGCCCCGCCTCGTCGTAGGCTCCCATGGTACTCAGATTGTGCAGATCAGCCGCTTTCTGAACTGAAACAGAAAGATGGGAAAACTTGGGCTGTTAGAACATTGGCTATTTGCAAGCAACTTGTTCCAGGCATTGGACAAGAAGAAAACGATAGGAAAATTGGAGTTCCGTGTAATTTTCAAAGGCTTGTGGGACATACTCTGATCTTCCCGAGTGTTTCTTTCGTTTCCTGCGCATTTTGACTGCCGTCAGCTGTCTGCAAAGTTCGCATTAACTTTTATCTTTCAGGTTTTGGTTGAGAAACTGGCCATCTTGATAAATTACAGAATGGGTCCGTTTTTAAATGCATTTACTGCAAATATATGAGTTCCCCTCAAAATTCCTTTTTGAACAGTAAAGACCCATAGGTATACCACAATGAGAAAATTTGACTTAGCGAGTTGGCTTAAATACAATTATGTACACTCACCATTTTGTTTCATTTTGCCATCATGTGAAGGTTTTGTCATCTTCTGCACAGTGGCATACGAGTAGACACCCAATACACATGTATCATCATCTGATGACACGTCAGGATCCAGTACTGCATACACCGGTGGCGGCGGAGTCTGCTCCCAGATGACCGTTGACACAGCGTAGGCGCCTTCGGGCGCGGGAGGTGCTCGATCGGTTGACTCCGCGTCTCTGACTTCATGCCCACTAGCTCTTTGGCTCGCAGGTTGGTTAAAGTAGTTGTGATTGTCGTAGACATTAGCTGCCTGCCTGCTAATCTCATCACTTGGTCTGGTGGGAGTGGATAGCTGGAGGGTTGTGTCTCTGTTCTCCCAGCTTCTTGACTTCCTCCTTGACGACACGAGGCATATTATGATGACAAGGAGAAGGATGATCACACCACCCACAGCTGATGATACTGCAATTATTACTGTACTAAACGAGGAAGGGTTTGAGTTAGTTGGACTTGAATCAGTAAAGTGGAGAGTCAGCGAAGACAAATCTGTGTTGGACAAGTCATGTGTTGTCGATACTGATGAGGGATCGGTGGAGACGGTGGTTGGTCCGATATCGACAGAGCAGTTTCTTTCGATTCCCGGGAAGGCCTCGCTTGTCATGTGACAAACGTACCTAGTGTAGGTCCAGGATGGGTTTAAGTGCAGTTTGTTTTCGACTTCATCGCCTGCAACTGCCGTTATCCCTCCAAGGATTACGTTTGTTGAATTGTCCAAAGTTGTCCATAAAAGGGAAACATTTGGTCGGGCAAACTCAGACGAGCATGTCAGAATTAAAGGTAATGCGGGTGTGTCGTGGGAGTTTGGAGATACAAAACACCTCGGGTAGGTTGTATTTGGAAAGAACCTAATGGTCACCTTTATAATTGCAGAGTGTGTGGTTGAACCAATTCCTTCATTGAGATATACCACACACTGAAACGATGTGCTGTCTTCAAGATGACTCGGGGTAATTGTAAGCGTCAGCCTTGCATCGTTATCTGTGCCTCTTTCGTAACGCACAATTCCACGATTGTCAGAAGTGTTCACAGCTGGACACGGATTTTCTGAAGATACACCACAGCCGCTTGAAGCATCAATAACACCGTACATTTGAAAACTGGAATTTTGCTTTCGGTCCCATTGAGCTGTGTTGATCATATTTCCGGACGAGAGCATTGTTATGTTACATGACAACTGCAATGGTTCCCCTCTCCGAACGGACACCGTCCCCGGAGCAGTAACCATCACTGAAGTTGTGACAGTTGCTGTCACAACAGTGACAGGTTGATAATTACTTCTCTGGTCATCTTAACCTCTTATAAATAGAACACCAAACGAGAATATTTGCGTTTAACGTACATGCATTCCACTGTCGACTACATAACACAAATGACTGCTTGCTGTTTCTCCCATTACCATGCACTGCTCTTTCTCCCATTACCATGAACGTGAATGTGTTTGTATCAAGTTCACTTCCTCGTTCCGTAGTTGTATTATATTTCACCCCCAATAAATACTGACACTTTTGTCGTACTTCGGTACGGAAATTTGATTAACAATAAGACATGGCTAGACAAGTCGCATAAACTGTATACGGTTTAAAGGGTTTCGTGCACACTGTGCAGGAATTCCCGATTTAAAAAGTGTTTTGTTGCGTTCAATGACGTAAAGTTGTTGAAAACCTTTCCCACATGATGGCGCTGTTCATGGTAGAAACGCGCATGCCAATTATAACTGATTGTATGCATATAAGCGTTGTACGTCCACTAACAGGCAAACAAAAAATACCCCGAGAATTCATCAGTGGCTTGGCTTCTGTGTGTTTTTCCCCCTTGATAACTCCTTGTATAACATGTTGACTACAAGAGTAAAATCAAAATTAACGTTTCAATGTCGCAGTTTTTAAAACATCAGGGACCCAAAAATAATTTGATCACAAACACACGATGCCAGTTATAATTTCACATCTCTCAGTTTCTATGACAGTTACTGTAATTGATGACTCAATCAACTGCTTTAAAAAAAGAAGCGGTCAGTACATTTCAGCTTATTTTGATTGACAGGCCATAGATAATGTTGAGGGTGACGACGCACTCTTTTGTCGTTTTTGTTGGGAAAATATAGTAATTTGTTTGTACAGGTTTGCCTACTCACAGTAAAAATGGTTATTATTTTGTTTAATGCAACAAATATGATCCATATACAAACACTTATCTTGTTTTATACAGCAGCTATATAAAACAAAACCTTTAAATCGGACAGTCAAGACGATCATGTGGTAAATCCATTAGACAACCAGTCCAGATCAAAAGCAGTTTTACCATCACACTCTCGGTATAGGCCCCTTACCTTTCTGAAACTATTTACATGAATGTGGTTTGTCGAAATCACAGTGTTTTAAACATCGTCATAGCCCAGCTCATTAATCTAATGGAAAAGGATCTTAGAACACATTTTACTCGGTATATGCCACGTGGTACAATGTAGTGGTGACCTCACTGTTTTTCAGTGTCATAAGTTTATAAAGCATTTAAATGGTCAATAATAATATCAACAATAATAATTTATTCAGGCAAATTTACATATAAAAAATACAAAGTAAATACAATCAGATAACACTACTGAAGAAAAGAACTACAAGATATATAGAAAAATATAAGGACAACAACAACAAGCAAGCAAAAAGAGGGTTGCCTAGGGGAAGACTAAAAGTGTATCATAAAACTGTCACAAAATGGCGTGTCACTCCAAGGGCGAGTATAGGGAGAGGGGCAACGGGGTCATGCCCCCCCCCCCCCCCCCAAAGAACCCAATTGTATTTTTTCAAGTGACGTCGCAGTTAAGGCAGGCAATGCGTACATAACCATCTTTTCTCAAAACAATTGATTAAAGTGGTCAGAATTTGCCTCAGATCGCACTACGTACAGAGCATCTAGAATCCAATTATTTTCGGGGCCCTTAAGCGCTCTCCCTTCCCCAAGCTATCATTTTGTTGACCCAATTTTGGGTGACCAAATTTTTGTTTGCCCACCTCCCCCCCCCAAAAAAAAAAAAAAAAATGTGTTCTTGATCAGCCCCTCATGTCACTCCAAGAAGTGAATAAATCCACACAGTAAAATAATACAAAAGAACGCAAGCCGATATCAGGACACTCCACTATTCACAGACACTTTTTAATTAAATGTGAAGTTGGGACTGATGAGGCACTGACATCCTTTTTTTCAGTGGGGAGGTTCCTTTTGTGTCAATATTTTTTTGTTTCACGGAGGTCCGGTAAATGCAGAACTCACTGTTCGTTGGGATGTTCATAGTCACACGGTTCAGCATTGCCGTCTGTGAAACATAAAAAAGAACCATTTGTTGTAGCTTGTGTGATTCATATAGAAAAAAAAGGTTTGGAATAATGCGATAGAAGATGTTTCAATGTGTGCCCACGACTTGATGACGATAACGACGGAAGATGTTTCAAAATGTACCCTAGATGACTAAGCATTTTTAAGAAAGACAATTCATACATTACTAGCTCAATTCCAGTGTCCATTAAATTGCTAAAGCTTTCTATTATTTTTTTTTAATTCTGTAACATCAACTTACTCGTGACTTGAAATTGATTTGTGATGTCTTTATTGCACTTCATTCATTCGGTTCATGTACCTAACTGCAGTTTCAAGCAAAACGAATTGGTGTTGAAACCAGAAACAAAGGAACCAGTCATTACCTTCTTCATAAGCTGAGAGCGGCATGTATTCTGTATTGGATGTGGTCTGGTTCCCGTTGTTTCCCTCCACGATATACTGTGTATATCCATCCTCCGTGTACTGGGGCTGCAGTCGGTCGACCGTGGGGCCAGTCACCGGGGGTTTGCCTTGCCGTCTCTGGTCTGGTTCCTGTGGGTGCAGCTCGGCTACAGTATATCCAATTCTGGTTTCATAGGAGTGTGAGGAGTTGGCACTGTCCCTTGTATCGCTGGGTAGAGTGTGCAGTGAGATGCTCTGAGGTGGAGGTTGCTCTGAGCAGACTGTTGGCACAACGAAGACGCCCTCGGGTGCCAACGGTGGTGGTGCCCGATCGGTTGGTCCTACGACTCTGATACTTCCTGGTTTGACGGGAGTGGGTAACTGGAGGTTTGTCCCTTTGTCTTCCAACCTTCTTGACTTCCTCCTTAACGACACGAGGCATATTACGATGATAAGGAAAATGATGATCACAGCACCCACAGCTGAAGATAATGCGATTATTAATGTACTAAATGAGGCAGGGATTGAATTAGTTGGACTTGAGTCAGTAAAGTGGAGAGTTGACGAAGAAGAAAACGTGGTGGTAGTAGGTAAATCATGTGTTGCCGATACTGATGAGGGATCGGTGGAGATGACGGTTGGTCCGATATCGACAGAGCAGTTTCTTTCGATTCCAGTGAAGGCCTCGCTTGTCATGTGACAAACATACCTAGCGTATGTCCAGGATTGGTTTAAGTGCAGTTTGTTTTCGACTTGATCGCCTGCAACTTCCGTTATCCCTCCGAGGGTTACGTTTGTTGAATTGACCAAAGTTGTCCATAGAAGGGAAACATTTGGTCGGGCGAACTCAGACGAGCATGTCAGAATTGAAGGTAATGCGGGTGTTTCGTGGGAGTTTGGAGATACAAAACACCTCGGGTAGGTTGTATTTGGAAAGAACTTAATGGTCACCTTTATAATTGCAGAGTGTGTGGTTGAACCACTTCCTTCATTGAGGTATACTACACACTGAAACGATGTGCTGTCTTCAAGAAGGCTTGGGGTAATTGTAAGCGTCAGCCTTGCATCGCTATGTGTTTCTCTTTCGTAACGCACAATTCCACGATTATCAGAAGTGTTCACAGCTGGACACGGATTTTCTGAAGATACACCACAGCCGCTTGAAGCATCAATAACACCGTACATTTGAAAACTGGAATTTTGCTTTCGGTCCCATTTACCTATCTTGATCATATTCCCGGACGAGAGCATTGTTATGTTACATGACAACTACAATGGTTCCCCTCTACGAACGGTCACCGTGCCCGGAGCAGTAACTATCACAGAAGTTGTGACAGTTGCTGTTGTAATGAGTAACAGGTTGATTATTACTTCTCTGGTCATCTTAACCTCTTATAAATAGAACACCAAGCGAGAATATTTGCGTTTAACGTACATGCATTTCACTGTCGACTACATGCATAATACAAATGACTGCTTGCTGTTTCTCCCATTACCATGCACTGCTCTTTCTCCCATTACAATGAACGTGAATGTGTTTGTATCAAGTTCACTTCCGCGTTCCGTGGTTGTATTATATTTCACCCCCAATAAATACTGACACTTTTTCGCACTTCGGTACGGAAATTTGATTAACAATAAGACATGGCTAGACTAGTCGCATAAACTGTATACGGTTTACATGGTTTTGTGCGCACTTTGCAGGAACTCCCGATGTAAAAAAGTGTTTTGTTGTGTTCGGGCCCTGTCACACTTCTGCGTATCCCAATTCCTTATGAGTTGCGCATTGACATTTTTTTCATACGCAGTCGTACGCACAATATGCACCTCATATGCATCTCTATCGTTTTGTGTAAGTTTTATGTACGCAGGCGTATGCATGGTACGGCCCAGTACGCCGGATAGTTTTGGGCATGCACAAAACTACGCTGCGTACGCTGTTACGCAGGTCATAAGTTATAAATACGCAGCGCATCGGTCCCGCATCATGTGTTCGTGGGGGATAAGCGGTTCATACGCAGTAATACGCTGACATCCCGGCACGCACCCCGTCAGCATATGAGCCGCCTATAATTGGACGTATACATAGCGTACTTGCAGCGCAGATACAACGCACGCTGAACGAACTCATAGCGAATGCCGACGTATTGCGTCAGGTATGCGGTCGGCATATAAGTAGGGTGCGTCCGGAATACGCTCAGCATGTGCACTACATACTGACCTATTCGCAGCCCGAAAAATAATGTTGTGCACTGCATACGCAACTCATACGCATCTCATACGCAATTGATGCGCTGAATTCGTTACTTGTACGATAGATGTGCGTCGCACATAAGTCAAAGTATTCAAAAAAAAAATCGACGTTTTGAGCGTACGGCTGCGTATTGAAAAAATTGATAAGGAACTCATAAGGAATTAGGATACGCGAAAGTGTGACAGGGGCTTTCAATGACGTAAGGGCCCTGTCACACTTCTGCGTATCCTAATTCCTTATGAGTTGCGCATTGACATTTTTTTCATACGCAGTCGTACGCACAATACGCACCTCATACACATCTCTATCGTTTTGTGTAAGTTTTATGTACGCAGATATACGCATGGTACGGCCCAGTACGCAGGATAGTTTTGGGCATGCCCAAAACTACGCTGCGTACGCTGTTACGCAGGTCATCAGTTATAAATACGCAGCGCATCGGTCCCGCATCGGTCGAGTGCGTTACGAGTACGCTTTGTGTTCGTGACGCACCCCGTCAGCATATGAGCCGCCTGTATTGGACGTATCCATAGCGTACTTGCAGCGCAGATGCAACACACGCTGAACGGCGAGCGGCGGAAATGCGGCGGGAATACGCTCAGAAGTGCGTCAAGCATGCGGTCGGCATAAGTCGGGTGCGTCCGGAATACGCTCGGCATGCGCACTGCATACTGACCTATTCGCAGCCCGAAAAATAATGTTGTGCACTGCATACGCAACTCCTACGCATCTCATACGCAATGGATGCGCTGAATTCGTTACTTGTACGCTAGATGTGCGTCGCACATAAGTCAAAGTGATCAAAACATTTCGACGTTAATTGAGCGTACGGCTGCGTATTGAAATTTTTGATAAGGAACTCATAAGGAATTAGGATACGCAAAGGTGTGACAGGGGCTTAAAGTTGTTGAACACCTTTCCCACATGATGGCGCGGTTCATGACAGAAACGCACATGCCAATTATAATTGATTGTATGCATAATAGGCCACTAACAGACAAAAATCCTCGAGAATTCAACAGTGGCTTGGCTTCTGTGTGTTTTCTTTCCCTTTATAACTCCTTGTATAATATGTTGACTAAACAAGAGTACAATCAAAATTAACGTTTCAATGTCGCAGTCATTGAAACATCATGGGCCCAAAATAGTTTGATCACAAACACACGATGCCAGTTATAATTCTCTCATTATACACTGGGCTGAAACTTCAACACATTAGGTTTTATGCAACCTTCCTTACATTTTGAGCGATTCGGTCGTTTCCAACGAAAAGAAAGTACAAAAATCAAATGTTTTCATTACATCCAGAGATTTAAAATGTTGCTTGATATTTGCCAATTCAAAGAGCACAATCATTAATGTTACGCTGCCTTAGTTCTCGAAAACGAATAACATTTTCTGTACTGGATGGTATGTAGATATGGTTTATACTGGGTACTATACAACTCCGAATAAATACCCGTTATCTGATTGGTGGGTCGGTGATCACGTGTCATTTAATTATTCGTCCCAACCCGAGTTCCATTGTATGGTCACACTAGTTTACCAATCAGATGACGAGGATTTATTCAGGCGTTGAATAAAACATATAATGAATGTGTTATATTTGTGAAGTGGAAAGAATATTTGTATTCGGTGACAGATGGAATGTTCCATTCCACGAGGCGAAGCCGATAGGAATGGAGCATTCCATCTGTCACCTCTTGAAATAATTCTTACCAGTGCAAACATAGAAAAATATTGCATAGCGCAACCAACGATATGTGAATTTCTAACCTGCTAACCTTCGCAATGTTTATTCTATCCATTTTGTTTTAGAGTTTTACTTGACCGAGGAAATGTTAACAGGGTGGCTCTTTTTCTGTGTAGCCGCCGTAAGCCTTTTAAGCTTTTAATACACGGCCTATTGCTCGAGAAATCTGCTGCTTTTCAATCGAAAGAGAAAAGAATATGACTCGAATAATGTTTAAAGTGAACAAACCTGGTTATGATATAAACAGGAAGTTGTCCTAAACAGCATGTGTTTATACCGAGATCTTTTGCAGGTATTGTATTTTTTTTGGCAGAATAACGATTTGCCACAGCACTGCGAAAGCATATATCGACAAGAACACTAGTTTCATTTTTGAAAACGTAACTATGATTTAGCAATACGTATGGAAGTTCCCATTTGTGTATGTGACTGTATCACATCAATGCAAATCACTGTTCATTTTACTTTCTGTCTTAGATGAATACAAACATTACTCCGGAGACAAAGAGAAGTCAGTGTCTGTTATAGTCATTATCTGGTAGTACAGAAACAAAGCAACATGGCAGCCCAAGCAGTATTTGTCTTTTTCCTTGTTACCAGGATGGTAACCATGGCAACGTCTGTAAAAGTTACGGCTGCGCATTCGGTGAGCGTCAGCGGAGGTGAACCGTTACAGATATCGTGTGATGTCTGGTATGAAGATGATACAGAAATCACAATGGTCCGATGGTTCAGGTGGGCAGATTCAATAACATTCGGTGAAATCGATGTTTCAACGAGTTGTGCGCATATGACTGTATGTGAAGCACATACCGACGACTATCGTGGAAGAATCCGATACGAAAGAAGTAGCAGGAACGAAGCAACGCTGACATTGGCAATTGGTACCAGTACAATAGAAGACAGCAGAAAGTTCATTTGTTCATTTTCTTCAAGAAGAGGAGTTGATAGTTCAACAGAGAATACCGCAATTATATCCGTGAATGTCGATTACGATCAGGATGAAATCAATCCAGTGTGTGATGTTTCAAGTCCCACTGTGCTGACTTGCTCATCTGAGATAACTCAACCTGAGGTTTCTCTGGAGTGGAGAACATTGGTCTATTCATCCAAGATATCGCTCTCCAAATATACAATCATCGTCGGGAATCAAGTTAAGAACATTCTCGATCTCGAAACCCTCGATATTCCGTACGACAGTAGGATATTCACCTGCTATTTGACAACCGAGGCCAGTCCTGTCTTCAAAGGAAATTGCTCCATTGGACCCATCACCTTTCGCTTCTCTGCAACAACGCCTAGTACTAGTCCAGGTATAACAGCATCCGAACCCACTCAAGATACAGAGTGGGCCCCCAGACCCGACAGCCTTTCTCCTGTAGAGCTAACCACGCCTGCAACATCGGCAACAGATGCTCGCACCTTTGCCACTATCCCAGTCAAAGTCTCCATTCTGATAGCAGTGGCAGTAACTTGTGCCACAGTTATTATTGTTCTCCTCCCCGTTGTTGCATATCTGGCTGCATACAGGAGAAAGCTTCATGAACATTTAAAGGAGAAGCAGGAAAAACGAAAAGATTACCGCCGCCAACATGCAACTGTCAATTCATCTCACACGAGGAACTCAGATGGTCACAACCTCGGGCAACCTCAGAGCATCTCACTGCAAGCTCCATCCAGCGATACAAG